GGGGGGGGGGGGGGGGGAGGATTGGAGGAAAGCTACGGAACTTTTCGCGGGAAAAACTTATTCCTCTGTGTCTAATTGATTTTTTACCGGGTGGAATGACGAAAAAAATCCCGAACGAAAAAATTTATGTATTCTGCAATTCTGGGAATAGGAAAAACTTCACTCGTTTCTCCAGTAAATTATGAGATGGTGTAGAAAGGTCTGAGAAATAGGGTTGCAAATAAGGTTACTCACTGTTGTTGGCATTTGATGGAATCAGAGAAACAGAAATCACGTCTCAAGAGCTATTGTTGAGTTAATACTCGATATGAATAAATTCAAATGGAATCTTGTCGATTTCCTTCATCAAGAGACGTCTCACAGCAAGGCTGGAGGCAACTTCGCGCCGGGTGATTCTTCTTCTCCTTCAATTGCTCTTTGGTCTGGCACTGAGAAAACGTCTTGTATTGCCGCCGGGGCGCCGGCTGATGCTGCTGTTTAGTGCTGCCCTCTTTCCAACCCCCTCCCCTTTCGCGAGCACCGGTGACTATACACACGAGCGAACAAAGCCACTCAAATGCCATTGGTTGAAAAAACCGTTGAACTTTCAAAATAAGAAATAAATGGTTTTTCATTTGACTTTTGTGGTCATATTTTTTTCGTAAAAATCACGATGTTGTACAATTTTGTGCTCTAAATAATTTTAAAAAATCGGGATAAAATAAATCGGATTAAATAACACTCTATCAACATTCGGAATCGAATGAAGTGTGATCTATTTGGAAACAGGACCGTCCGCCCACATCCTCCAAAATCCCGCCATTGTCCCATTGTGTATTCTGAAGTTTTGGTAGTGAAGTCAGTCAACGAGTTGCCGTGAATCAACAACAAGTGATAGACATTATTGTCAGTGATTTTTGTCAGAGAACAATGGCTTCGAACCAATGAATAATCAATAAAAGTATGAAGGAAAGATACTAAGATTTTCAGTTCAACATTCAATGGTACTAATTACCCTCCAGCAATAGAAACTAAGTGAATTAATCGTCTCCCGCACCCTCCCCCCTCGTACTGTTAAAAACTTGAACGATAAATCATCCTTCTCACCGTCCGACGCGTCACATTCCCTCAGAATGATTTTCCTCGTCGCTCTAAGACGCCGGGTTTTCCCATTCATATGAAAATCAGATAAATAAATCAATCAAGGCCTCTCTCGCCTGAGAACCTACCTCCGCCCCAACGAGTCTCCTTTGTGGCTTTAAAAATTACAGGCATTTTCAAACGTACGAACATTTGTTCGGAATTGTAACAAATTTAACTATATTTATAATTTTACAGAAATCGATTTCATGCGTATGAAAATAAGGTTTCTGAAAGTTTAAAACATTTCAGTGATTTATTCGTAAATAATTAATATTTAAAAAAATCATAATTCCGTGCAAAATGAAATTTTAATGACGCGGAATATTCATGATTTTTTTCAAATTTTTCTTACGTAAAATTGACAAATTTGATGATTGAAAATCGTTGAATCTACTTGTACTCGATCATGAGAGCTTTCATTTGAGCCCTATTCGACCCTGAATTTCCGGACATTTCACAATGATTTTATTATTTAAACTTTTCGGGTCTGAATTTGAATCTCGATATTGAACCGTTAGAAAACATTGAAAATCCGAAAGAAAATTAGGAAATTTACTTTTGGAGAAAGTCTGATAAAATAATTTAAAAAGTGCGATTTTTGAAAAATTACGAGCATCTATAAATAATTTATATAAACAATCACTTTTCCTCCATAAAAATCATTTGTCCGGAATTGTAACAAATTTATTGTAAAGTAAACGTTGTACTCAAATGGACACTTGACTTTTTTAAAAATATTCATAACTCAGAAACAGAGTTATCAATCGAGCTCAGTCTAAGCTCATCACAAAGAGGAATCATTGTTCTTTCAATTGAAAAATAAAATTATTCCATTTCCTGAACACTTCAACACGTCATGAATATTTCAAAAAAAGTCAAGTGTCCATTTTACCCTGCCCTCCCCTATTCAGAATTTTACCAGGAACCGATTTCACGCGTTAAAAAATAATGTTTCCGAAAGATTAAACCATTTCAATCATTCATTCGTAACCAATGAATGTTAAAAAAATCAATTCCGTGTCAAATGTAATTCCAATGACGCTGAATATTCATGATTTTTTTCAAATTTTTCTTACGTAAAATTGACAAATTTGATGATTGAAAATCGTTGAATCTACTTGTACTCGATCATGAGAGCTTTCATTTGAGCCCTATTCGACCCTGAATTTCCGGACATTTCACAATGATTTTATTATTTAAACTTTTCGGGTCTGAATTTGAATCTCGATATTGAACCGTTAGAAAACATTGAAAATCCGAAAGAAAATTAGGAAATTTACTTTTGGAGAAAGTCTGATAAAATAATTTAAAAAGTGCGATTTTTGAAAAATTACGAGCATCTATAAATAATTTATATAAACAATCACTTTTCCTCCATAAAAATCATTTGTCCGGAATTGTAACAAATTTATTGTAAAGTAAACGTTGTACTCAAATGGACACTTGACTTTTTTAAAAATATTCATAACTCAGAAACAGATTTATCAATCGAGCTCAGTCTAAGCTCATCACAAAGAGGAATCATTGTTCTTTCAATTGAAAAATAAAATTATTCCATTTCCTGAACACTTCAACACGTCATGAATATTTCAAAAAAAGTCAAGTGTCCCTTTTACCCTGCCCTCCCCTATTCAGAATTTTACCAGGAACCGATTTCACGCGTTAAAAAATAATGTTTCCGAAAGTTCAAACCATTTCAATCATTCATTCGTAACCAATGAATGTTAAAAAAATCAATTCCGTGTCAAATGTAATTCCAATGACGCTGAATATTCATGATTTGTTTCAAATTTTTCTCCCGCAATTTAGCGGACAAATGTGTGAATGACAAATTTCTTAACAATGTGTTTCTCCTTTTTTCTCCCATTTCCGGGGGTTGTTAGCAGCCCAGCGCGGGGTTGCCCTCCAGCCCACCGAAACTAGGTGGCGCTGTGGTGACAACTCGGGGTGAATCGCCACGGCCGAGTGGCAGCAAAGACCAGGAAAAAAAAAATCCCGAAATAACGAAAAGGTATAAAACACGCGTGTACAGAAGTGGTGGAGGTATGCCAGCCAGCCCGGGCCATGTAACCGGGGAGGGGCTAGGCTGGTTCTCTCGGCAACTCTCGGGTTCTCTCCTCGAAACACTAGGCCGGTGGACAGAGGAGGTGGTAATGGAATGGAGGAATGGGGAAAGGCACAAGACCGAGGCAAACGGCAATGCACGGTAGAAACGAATGAGGTCTCGTTGGCACGCCGAAGGAGCGCCATGAAAGTGTGCGATCAAACTAAAAAGACCTGCCGGGATCACCACAGCAACAAATTTCAAAAATAATTCATCAAGTCCACTTCGTCGCCCATGGACACACGCACTGGTGGCGATTTAAATCCAAGTGGGGGGGAGGGGTTGTGCACTGTTGATTGAACTGTCACCGAGTGAAGTTCGATGTGAATTTTCAATCGACTATTGAGTGAAGTGAATTAGCAGGGGCAAGTGTGTTCACACTGAGGGCCACTAAATTTATTTTCGAAAAGAGGAATAATGGCTGCTGGCTGGCATCGGACAGGTCTATCGAGTGCACAGGTGTCCGTCAGTGCCGAGGGTAACAATCTGTGCTCAAGCTGGAGTTTATCGTGATACTAAAGTTTATTTTCCTCGTCGTCTTCCCGGAGGATTTCGTGGCGATTGATTTTTCCGACTTCTCATCTGGTTTCCAATTATTTTGATAGTCCTTTCGACTGTGGGGGGAGTGAGAGAAGTGTTATCCCGGATAAAGTGATAATAAAAAATGATTGGACTCGGAAGGACTAAATGTTCACTGGTGATTTATCAGCGTCAGGTTGTCGTTCTCTTCATTGTTCTGCTGGTTGAGGTGAGTTTGAAGTAATTTATGGGGTTTTGGGGGGGAATATTGTGGTCATTGTTCGCTTTTCGGTTGTAAACCTCGTTCTGTAAAGGGGTCAATTCGAATTGACGATGAAATTCTCGGACATAGGTCTGTGTGGCGCCTTGCGAAATCACACTTTCCCGCGGAGAGAAACCCAATCGCTCCACCAGGCCTAGAAGCATTATTTATTTCCATTTCTGGCTCACTCATGAATCATTCAACGATGATTGTTATTTTGGATATCATTTTTAATTGAGGATTTCACTGGGCTTCGGGCCGGGAATGGGGAGTTATTGGAGCGGCTGATGCCACAGTTGAATGACTCAAGAATTTTGATGTCCGAGCGGTTTTTCTTTTTCTTTGTTAATTTGCAAATTGGGGACGGTGTTGGCATCGTAAATTGCATGGGACAGCTAGAACACGCGACCTCATTCATTTCAATATTGTTTTCAACCTTTCTATCACGTGATGTGACATTCAATCCGTGAAATTTTAAACCGCGGGGATACGAGGAATTTTATGGGAGTCCGGGAAACGTGGATTAGATTTTTATGATTTAATTTTTAGGGGAGTTTTCGGGGAATGTCATGAGGGGGATTTTGGGAGATTTACAAAATTAATAAACATGTCAGAATGAAAATTTCATTGTTCTCTTGAATGTAAACATATCTTGGTGGTGAATGGATTTAGAGAGAAATATTAGAACGGTTTTTGTGGGAAATTTCATCGACTGCAAAAAATGGGATAGTTTCTCCTAAAGAGAATTGGCAAATATATTGAAAAGGAAATTCAAAATTCTAAATGTGGAAATTTTAAAACACGGGGATAACTAGTAGGAATTTTATGGGAGTCCAGGAAACGTGGATTGGATTTTTATGATTTAATTTTTAGGAGATTTTTGGGGAAATGTCATGAGGGGGATTTTGGGAGATTTACAAAATTAATAAACATGTCAGAATGAAAATTTCATTGTTCTCTTGAATGTAAACATATCTTGGTGGTGAATGGATTTAGAGAGAAATATTAGAACGGTTTTTGTGGGAAATTTCATCGACTGCAAAAAATGGGATAGTTTCTCCTAAAGAGAATTGGCAAATATATTTAAAAGGACATTCAAAACTCTAAATGTGGAAATTTTAAAACACGGGGATAACTAGTAGGAATTTTATGGGAGTCCAGGAAACGTGGATTGGATTTTTATGATTTAATTTTTAGGAGATTTTTGGGGAAATGTCATGAGGGGGATTTTGGGAGATTTACAAAATTAATAAACATGTCAGAATGAAAATTTCATTGTTCTCTTGAATGTAAACATATCTTGGTGGTGAATGGATTTAGAGAGAAATATTAGAACGGTTTTTGTGGGACATTTCATCGACTGCAAAAAATGGGATAGTTTCTCCTAAAGAGAATTGGCAAATATATTGAAAAGGAAATTCAAAATTCTAAATGTGGAAATTTTAAAACACGGGGATAACTAGTAGGAATTTTATGGGAGTCCAGGAAACGTGGATTGGATTTTTATGATTTAATTTTTAGGAGATTTTTGGGGAAATGTCATGAGGGGGATTTTGGGAGATTTACAAAATTAATAAACATGTCAGAATGAAAATTTCATTGTTCTCTTGAATGTAAACATATCTTGGTGGTGAATGGATTTAGAGAGAAATATTAGAACGGTTTTTGTGGGACATTTCATCGACTGCAAAAAATGGGATAGTTTCTCCTAAAGAGAATTGGCAAATATATTGGAAAGGAAATTGAAAACTCCAAATGTGGAATTTTTTTGTTTCAAATCATCTAATCTTTAAATCTTTTAATTTTTCTGAATTGCATCGGCTAGACTAAAGATTTCTTGACATTTTCTAAATCCAATCTCCTAATTACTAATCTTGGTTCCAATTTTTCTACCACGTGATGTGACATTCAGTCCGTGAAATTTTAAACCACGGTGATAATAAAGATTTTATGGAAATTCAGTGAACGTGGATTGGATTTTTATGATTTAATTTTTAGGGGGCTTTTGCCATTTTCTTCTAGATTCTCCCGTGTTTGAGATAATCACAATCTTAAAAAACATGTCAGAATGAAAATTTTATAATTCAGATTGAGTAAATCCTTGGCTTCTTCTTGAATATAAAAATCTCTTGATGGTAAATGGATTCAGAGAAGAATATTACTGCGTTTTTTATTCAAAATTTCGGTTCAGAGATGATTTAGTAGCTGAGAATTATATTTGAAAGGAAATTTAGAACTGTAAATCTTTGAGTATGAAATTATGTCGATTTCCAAATCATTCACTCCTGGAAATTTTTCGTGCTACACAAGAAATCTGTTGAAATTTCAAATCTTCCAATTCTCCTGAATTTCATCGGCTAGAATAAAGATTCCTTGACATTTCCTAGATCCTCTCGTTTTCTGAGATAATCACAAAATTAAAAAACAGGTCAGAACGAACATTTTATAATTCAGATTGAGTAAATCCTTGGCTTCTTCTTGAATATAAAAATATTTTGATGGTGACTGGATTTCGAGAGAAATATTAAAACATTTTTTGTTGGAGATTTAGTCCCCTGCAAAAAAAATCGACTAGTTCTTCCTAAATCCATTCGGTTTCGAGATAATTGAGTAATTAATAAACATGTTTGAAACAAAATTAACGAATTCTTCCAGTTGAATCTCTGATTTTTTTTTAATATCAAATTATCTAGATTTATAGATTATTTATTGCTGACAATTTTTCGTCAAATCTCTTAAACCCCCTAAATTTCATACGCTAGAATAAACATTTTCTGTCATTTCCATCTAAATCCACATTTTTCGAAGACAATTAAAAAACCAACAAAAATGTCTAAATGAAAATTTCGAAATTCACTTCAATCGTTTCCTTTGTTTTTAATATAAAAACATCTCAAGATTTTTATTCGTAAACTTAATCAGCCAAAGCAAAATCTTTCAACATTTTCTCCCAAATCCACTCACTTCACAGATGATTAAATAATTTTGAAAACTATTTAGGAGAAGAAGTCTGAATTCTTCGCCTTAAATCTCTAAAGCATTTTGAGTATAAAATTATCTCGATGCTCCATTTTTCGTCGACAATTGGTCATTCACCAAAAAAAATCTCGCTAAAATCACCAAAGTCCCAGCAAAACTGATTTCCCACTTCGATTTCACGATAATTTGAATGTTATTCATGCAGACGAAGTGAGCACCGATGCATTACCCACATCACCCGCAGTTACGTAAATTCTAGCCTCTCGTTATTTCCTTTTTTGCCCAGTTTTATCCTCCATCAGTGAAGCAAAGGTCGTCATTGTTTATAACAGCAAACTGAATAATACATGTTGAGGAGCACCTCATGCATTGAAAAAATCATCAGGATTATTGAAATTGATGAGTGAAAAGAGACTGAGGGTGAGGTGGTTAGTCACAAAGTATCGGTGTAAATTATTGAATATGTCGGGGAGTGGAGTGCCACATGGCATTGGCATCTCTCTCGCTTCCTCTCCTCTGTATTCGGTGTATTTATACTCTAGAATGAACTTCCGGTTGTTTGGTTAGTATCAGCGCAAATGCTAATGCTAAATATCCGGGATGTACTTTATATTCAGGAAATCTGAGCGGATTTTTGTCACAAAAACGAAAACATTATTTTTCCATTCAAGGACAATTTTTCGTTTTTCGCTCTCAAAAGATAAATTTCTGCAAACGATTTTCCTTTAAACAACTGGAACATTTCATGCAAAATAGAGAAATAAATTTATTTTTTTGCGGGAGGTTTTTTTATTCCGCGTGAAATTTCCTATCCCATGAACGTCTGAATGAAAAAATTGTCATTTCGTCCAGATGTCGGCACATACTGAGAGTAAATAAAGGGCACACGGATATGCTAAATATAAAATTAACCACATGGCCTAATCCTCAATTTCCAGCACGTGTACTCAAGGAGAATATTTAAAGCCCGAGCATATCCTGCATGACATCCCGTCTCATTTTTACACTTGCTTTTTATGATCGTTGTAAAATTTTTTTACTGCTCTCAAATATCGTGATATTTTGATAACGAGTGATTGTGTGAAACGAAATATCAAGACGTTTTTTCTTGACATTTTCTCCTGAATTCACGCATTTTCGAATTTAAATCAAATCAATAAACATGTTTGAATGAAATTTTTGAAATTCATTTGGATTTTATTAAATATTATATTTTGAAAACGAGTTGTTTTATTAAAAAAAACATTAAAATGTTTTTTTGTTTTCAATTTAATGCACTACAAAGGAAAACATTTGACATTTTCCTGTAAATCCACACGTTTCCGAGATAATTATAAAATAAAAAAACATGTGTGAACGAAAAATTTGAAATTCACTTCAAATTCGTCTTTGGTTTTTATTTAAATAATATTATTAAATCTCGAAAGCGAATGATTTTGTAATAAAAACATTGAGACGGTTTTCGTTGCAAACTTAATCGGCTACAGAAGAAAACGACATTTTCTCCTAAATCCGCACGTTCCCGAAATAATTATAAAATAAAAAAACATGTCTGAACGTTAATTTTTAAATTCATCTTCGGTTTTTATGTAAATATCATTAAATCTTGAAAACGAATGATTTTGTAAAAAAAATATTGACACGTTTTTTGTAGCAAATTTAACCGACTGCAAAGGAAAACTTTTGACGTTTCCTCCTAAATCCTCACGTTTCCGTGATAATTCCAAAATTATGAAAGAAAATTTGGAAATTGAGTTCAAGTCAGGGCTGGGTTTTTTTCAATCCACTCTCACATCCTGCGAGACATTCCACTCATATCCATACATATTTTTTATGATCATTGTAAAACACCTTCAATAACTCAAGGTTCATTAGCGGTAGTCAATGAAGAAATGTCAATAAAAAAACAGCTCGTCAACCTGTTTACAAGAATGCGAGCTCCTGAATTGAGCAATTTGTCAAAATATTTTTTCCCCCTGTTTATTCGCCGAGTCATTTGTTTCGCATTCTCACTTGAGTGTGCAATTGTCGTCGGTAGCTGGGTTTATTCAGTGAGATTTTCTACGAGTTTTCCCCGGCGAGACTGCTCATTATGATTATCGGCCTCTTGTACCTCGTGAGCAACTTCACAATTTCGTAGGAAAGTCCTAACGAAGCGTCTCGATAATTAAGAGAGGAGAACTTGAAATAATGAGTGAATATTTTAATTAGGGAAAAATATAATTTGATTAATTACAGGTGACGTACTCGGCCGACCTTGCCATAGAGATACCGGGAAATCTCTCTCAAGGTGGATCCTGGTACAGACTGGACTACAGTCCACCCATTGGTTATCCAAGACCAAATACAACAGTCGCTGCAACTGATATCGGCGATGTTATCAAATTTAGAGATGGGCTTCCAGGTACGAAGTACGAATTCTGGTTGTATTATAGCAATGGAACGTTGCATGATTGGCTTACGTGGACGGCGTCAATTACAACAGGTAATTGTTTGTTAAAAAGAGAAATTATGCGGTAACTCGAGGGAAGAATTACTGGAATCAACGGATTTTTCCATTGATCGTAGTGGAATTTTTGGGAGTCTCATTCTTTAACGAGAAAAAATCCTGGATTCGAGGGAAGTTTTCACTTATTCTCAGGGAATTTTCTCCACAAATCGGTTAGAATAAGGGAATAATTCCTGAAATAAGAGAATAAAGAGATTTACTTCTCTAGTTTTTACGGAAATCGTGCGAATTCTTTGGAGTACAGACAATTCACCAAATTTAAGACTTTTTTTCTGCCTCAATTAAAGACACTTGGCGACTATTCAGTCAGCAGTCATTTATGACGGCGGCAACACGACAAGACATTAATCCCATTGAGGATATCCAAGCATTTTTTAGTTTCGTACAGACCATTTTCAATTATCAAATTTGTCAATTAAATTGCGTGAGATAAATTTGAAAAAAAAATCGTGAATATTCGGCGGCATTCAGCTCGAATTTTGCGCAGAATTATCATTTTTTAAACACTCGTTGTTTATAAATAAATAATTGAAATTGTTAAACGATTCGGAAAATTAATTTTTGTAGTCATGAAATCGATTTTTCTGGTAAAATTCTGAATATGAATAAATTTGTTACGTTAAAATTGATTGTTTATAAATTATTTATAGCAAATGCTCGTAATTTTCCAAAATTGCAATTTTTTAATTATTTCATCAATTTTCTTCCAAAAATAAACTTTAAAATTATAAGGAAAACTGCCTTCCATCACCATTTTTGATCACAACAATTCTTTTGCCCTCATTTTCCCGTTTTCAAATTCTGCTTGACCTCTATTTTGGGTTGATCGATCGTTGAGAACAACCGAAGCATTCGGAAAAAATAAGACATCATAAATTTGAACCAGAAGATTCTCGAGTAAGACACCTCGAGTGTCTAGAGCATGCCTAATGTGCTTGCTAAATGTCTTAATTTGAGACCCTAAAAATATCTTAAATTTCATGACACAAAAATCTTGAAAAAAAGTGTCTCAATTTCAACTGCACGCCCCGCGTACATCAATAGAATCTTCTCCAGTACTTCTCCCCTCCCAGCCCCGCACGAAATCACAGCCCCAGGGATCCCCCACTAACCCCAACCCTGAAATATTCAGCTCCAGATCCGCCCTCGAACCTCACCGTCTCCGTTCGTAACGGCAAGACAGCGATAGTGTACTGGTCGCCCCCCTCGCAGGGCAACTACTCGGGCTTCCGTCTGCGCGTGCAAAGCTTCTCCGACGCTGGTCCCCCAAAAACCAGTCTAATCCCCTCGGACGCAGTCCCCTACACCCTCCGGGACTTGACCCCCGGTGCGACCTACTCCCTCCAGCTATTCACAGTATTAGAAACTAAAGAATCGGTCGCCTACACAAGTCGCAACTTCACGACAAAGCCCAACACCCCTGGCAAATTCATCGTCTGGTTTCGAAACGAAACAACATTATTAGTCCTGTGGCAGCCGCCATACCCAGCGGGCATCTACACCCACTACAAAGTGAGTATCGATCCCCCCGATGCCATTGAGTCAGTCTTCTACGTCGAGAAGGAGGGCGAGCCGCCAGGGCCAGCCCAAGCAGCCTTCAAGGACCTCGTCCCAGGTCGTGCCTACAACATTTCCGTTCAAACAGTATCCGAGGACGAGACATCCGCCCCAACCACCGCCCAATACCGAACAGTTCCCCTCCGACCGTTGAACGTGACCTTCGACAAGTCCTCAGTGACATCCACCAGCTTCCGGGTCTTCTGGAACGCCCCCAACGGCACCTCCGAGTTCGACAAATACCAGATATCACTGGGTGGCAACAGACGCCTCACCCCAGTGACGATAAACCGAGACGACGAGAGCCTCTGGGAGTTCAAGGAGCTCGAACCGGGGAAGACGTACCAAGTAGTCGTGAAAACGGTGTCTGGTAAAGTCACCAGCTGGCCGGCCAGCGGAGACATCACCCTTCGTCCTCTGCCCGTCCGCGATCTCCGCGCTGAGATCGACGAGAAGACGGGAATGCTGGAGGTCTCCTGGAGACCCGACAACTCCAGCACTCAAGACAGCTACAAACTCCAGTACCACGAGGTAGAAACAACGTCGATCACAGGCGACAGCAACTCCTTGGCCATCGAGAAGACTAAGATTGCTCTGGAAGCGCTGCTTCCTGGGAGGAACTACACGATAATCGTCCAGGCGATCAGCAACAAGATCGAGTCGAACGAGACGGTTCTCCACCAGGTGACGAGGCCGTCGAGTCCCATCATCGAGGACCTGAAGTCCATCGAGAAGGGTCTCAACATATCGTGGAAGAGCGACGTCAACTCGCGACAGGAGAAGTTCGAAGTCACTCACACCAGGAATGACACCGGGGAGAGTGCCACCACCCTCACGACGGAGTCCCACATAATACTGGAGGATCTTTATCCTGGGGCGGGGTATGAGGTTAAAGTCTTTGCCATCAGTCACGGTCTGAGGAGCGAACCTCATGACTACTTTCAAGCTGTCTTGCCGCATCCGCCGCAGCATCTGAGGATCGAAAAGGTGACGAATAATGCTGTTCTCGTTCATTGGGCGGCTCCCATCAACTCTCTGTTCACCGAATACGCCATCAGGTACAGGACTGATGATGACCCCAGGTGGGTCAAGCTCCCCAGTGTTCGGGAGATGGAGGCGGAGGTGGCGGACATGACCCCCGGGGAGAAGTACACGATTCAGGTGAACACTGTCAGCTTCGGGGTCGAGTCCCTGTTCCCGTTGCAAGTTAATCATACGGTCAGACCGAATGCTGTTGTCAATGTCACACCTGTTGTTGATTCTACTAATATAACGCTGGAGTTCCTGAGGCCCGAGGGGCGCATCGAGACGTACGTCATCAGGTGGTGGGTCACCGAGAACCCGAACGAGTTCAGAACTAAGAATGTTACCGCTGGTAGTGATATCACGGAATTGGCGTTCGAGGAGTCGTCTGGCGGGTCCGGCCACTACACTGAGAGGATTCTTGTGGATGATCTTGTGCCCGGGGTCGAGTACTCATTCTCGATTTATACCGTTTCTTATCATCTTGTGGGGGACGTCACCAACTTCACGACTCACACAAGTAAGTTCTTGTTTTCTTCGGTTGTTAAAGATAATTGGGCAATTAGCAGGTCAAGAGATCATTTATGGTTCATTTGGAGAATTCATGTTTAATTTTATGGCAAAGTCGATATGAAAAATAGGACTATCAAGGCAAATGTAAAAAAAAATACTAAAGGAGGAGAATTTTAAGGCCGCGAATTCTCGGCCAAAAGGGGGTGAAAAATTCTGAAGGAAAAATTCATTCATTTTTGAAGAATTAGATGGAAGAAGTTAAAGTTGGTTTGATAAGGATAAGTAGTTTCAAGAAATGTTCAAAAATACGAGGTGATCGACAGGTGTGAGCCGCCATTTTGGTCTGTCGAAAGAGGCTCTCAAAATGGCGGCAGCCCCACCTCGCATTTTTAAACATTTTTCAAAATTATTTATTCTCTTCAGATCTCCCTCAGCTGAGTTCATCCGATTTTTCTAAAATGAACAAATTTTTTAAGCCATCTCTCATATTTTTGCATCTCCAGTTGTCTGAGAATTCATGACCTCTTCGCCTGACCCCCAAACATTCTCCATTTCCCTTCACTATTTCGACACTTCGTATAAAGAGTAAATTTAGAAGAAATCAAATCAGTTTATTATTCATTAGTCACTGGGTCAAATATCCGAAAAAGATGTGTCATTCTCTCCCAAATAAAAGGCCGTCTTAATTTTTATTTCGTAACGTAAAAATCGGTAGATCGAAAAATTTCAAACGATTGGAAAGTCTCGAATTTGTCTCGTCATTGTTTTCGTAATAGAGTATTCCAAGATTAATTGAATCATTTCAAATGAATGATTTTTTTTACGTAACACGGAATGTCTGGATTCTCGCTTGCAGTGCCGCTGATTCAATCCGAAGTTGTCGTAGTCATCGACCGTGATCTTCCAGACTCTCTGACGCTCCGTTACACACCAACATATGTGCAATCATCGAGATTCGATTTGTACAGATTCCGAATAAGCGATGATAACAATACGACAAAAGAGAAACTTGTCGACGATACAGATACGAAAGTTACGTTTGGGGGTCTGACGCCGGGGAAATTGTACAATGTGACTGTGTGGACTGTCAGTGAGAGTGTCGAGAGTAGACCGATCTTGAGACAGGACAGACTCTACCCAGAGCCAATAACAGGCATTCATGCCATTGATATCAATGATACGAGAATATCATTGACCTGGGACGTGCCTCAAGGGGAGTACGACGCCTTCGAGGTGCAGTACATAAATAGTGATGATAATTATCTTCAGAATATAACGTCACACAATGCCATCACTATTTCAAACCTCAAGCCACACAGGAATTACACTTTTACGCTTGTCGTGAGGTCTGGCTCGGAGTCTAATTATCTGAGGAGGTCTAATCCACTCAGTGCGAGCTTCACGACCAGCGAGTCGTATCCAGGGAGGGTCGAGAAGTTTCATCCTACTGATATTCAACCCGGTGAGATCAGCTTCGAGTGGTTCCTGCCGGATGGAGAGTCCAATGGCATCATCAAGAAGTTCACCATCACTTATGGGCTTGAGGTAAAAAATTTAGTTGGGGATTGTGGGAGATTGGTAGAGTGAATTGTAAAAAAATTGAGCTCCTTTCGAAGGTAGTTTCAGCAGCTCTGAAATGAATTTTGATTTTTTGAAATCGGATCATTGGGTCAGAAGATATCTAAAATTTTGGAAACTTCGTTTTCCTCGTTTTTCCAAATCAATTTAAAATACGTATCAGTTTTTTAGAAATATCTCGGAATTTAAGCGAGATAGCGAAATTTTTGTAAAAACCTTTTTTGTAGCTCTCACTTCGCTCTACAAGAAAGGTCCTGATGACACTTTTGCTATTTCCCTCAGATTCTGAGATATTCCGCGAAAACCAACTCTCGAATTTATTCTCATCATTTGTAAATTGACTTCTTCAAATGTATTTTGGGTTTTTTAATCGTCCAGGGCTCATCCCACACTCAAATGCGAGACTTCAAGCCCACAGAGTTCAGGGGTGTGATAAAAGGCCTGACTCCCGGAAAAATCTACGTCTTCCGTATCCAAGCAGAAACAAAAATTGGTTTTGGTCCAGAAACAACTTGGAAACAAAAAATGCCCATTCTGGCTCCTCCAAAGCCACCGACACAAGTTGTTCCCAATGAGGTCTGCAGAAGCAGTACAACGATACAAATACGATTCAGGAAGAATTATTTCAGCGAGCAACACGGTGCTGTGATCTCATACACGATTATTGTCGCTGAGGACGACAGTAAAAACGCCTCGGGATTGGAAATGCCCAGTTGGAGGGATGTCCAGGCTTACAGCAGTTGGCCACCTTATCAGGTACATAAATACCGGACATTCCAATTTTTTGAATCACTTCTTGTGCATAAATAGAGTCAGAATAAAATAGTATTTGCATTAACGTAAATTTTATTTGTAAAACCGATCTGAAATGAATAGTAGATATGAAATAAAATGAACAATATTTAATTTCTTATCGGATAAAATAGTAAAACGACAAAAAAATTTTAAATTTTAATAAATAAAAGAATGAAAATAATTATTTTTAAATATTTATTTTGAATTTTTTTCATTTCATTTCACTCAAAAAATTTTTTATTTCAAAGTTATCAAAGTTGACAACAAAAATAGTATTTTATTTATAAAAAAAGTCGATTTGACATTAAATGTGAATAATTTCATTAAGTGAATAATTTTTTATATTTTCATTTCATCAAAAAAATACGATTTCGTTTCGTAATTTGTAAAAATAAAATAATGAACTTGAGATAATCATTTCAAACTTAACAATGAACAAAAAATTTGAATAATGCACTTGCAAGAATTGTTTAAAGTCATTCTCCCATTGAAATTGTTTTTCTCCAGGTGATGGAGCCTTACAATCCCTTCAAGAACGGTTCAGTGGAGGACTTCACCATCGGCACAGAGAACTGCGAGAACAAAATAGGCTACTGCAATGGTCCCCTGAAAGCCGGATCGACGTACAGAGTCAAAGTTCGAGCCTTCACAGCCCCAGATAAATTCACAGACACGAGCTACAGCTTTCCCATCCAAACAGGTGACTATTTTTGAAAAAATTATGGCCCCAAGTTCGGCAATTGTAACTGTACGCTTTCGATGTTGAAGTAAGAATTGAATGATCACATTGAAATCTTGAAAATTGAGTTAATCTGCTGAGGGCCCTGTGGGCTTTGTCAGCGTAAATTTACACATGGATTTACATGTACATGTCTCGCTCTTGAAGGATTGCTGCTGGCAGGTGAGAAACAACACTGTTGTTTGCCAGTGTTCAAAGTCTGTAGGATTGTTACTGTGTATTTCAGTAGTGGGGGAAATTTATTTGGAATTTTAATTGATATATTCCGGCCTGCGTCATTTCGAAATCATCATAAAACGAATAAAATTGTATTTGAGGTATTTTAATCCTGATGAATTACTATTTCCAATAATTAGTTGATGAAAATTCTTGGAATTTTCTCATGTAATGATTTGAAATTTCATTAGAAACTAAAAAACAATAATTGAGAAACTGGAAATAATTAATGAATTTACTAATTAAGGATGTTCAAGGAGTTTAGGCATTTTATTCTTTTGTGCAGTCATTTTCGTCAAAGTCTAAATTTAATTCTTTATCTTAAATCATTAAAAAATCTAGAAACTAAAAATTCCAAGAGTTTGCGTAATTTATTTACAGGAAAACAGAGTATTTAAAAAAATAACTATTTTAATTCTTTCCTATGACTTTAAAGAATTGATAAATTTTCTGATTGAGAGGTTTAAATGTCCCTGAAACCGAATAAACAATTCAATTCATCAGTTTGATGAAAATAAATATTAAATTCAATAAAAAAACGGAATAAAAACCTCAGTAATCACTTCGCAAAGTACTTCACTACTGATTTACCTCTGACATTGAATAAAAAACGTACTCTCGGTGTTCTGTTCAGCTTTCCACGACTTTTTTCATTAACTGTCAAACAATTCCCCGGAAAAGCGCCTCGATCCTCTAACCGATTTCCCCATTGCTCCTCAACAGACAAGGATAACACAACGATAATTGTGGGCGTAACCGTCCCAATAGTTCTCCTGCTGACGATGCTGGGTATCGGGTTATTGGTGAGGAGACATCGCAATCAGCGGAGAAAAATCACCGAGCCAAGGGCAACAGATAATCTCTCATTACCAGACAGCGTCATTGAGACGAGGTAATTACAATTTTTCTCATAGCCTTCAACAGAGGAATTAAACCGTCTTCTCATTTCACAGTCGACCAATTCGAGTGGAAAATTTTGCCGAGCACTACAGGATAATGTCAGCAGACTCGGATTTCAGATTTTCAGAGGAATTTGAGGAATTGAAGCACGTGGGGAGGGATCAGCCCTGCACAGCTGCTGATCTACCCTGCAACAGGCCCAAAAATCGTTTCACTAATATTTTGCCATACGATCACAGCAGATTTAAGCTGCAGCCTGTTGATGATGAGGAGGGATCTGATTACATAAACGCTAATTATGTTCCGGTTAGTATTGTTGGTGGATAGGAGGGAGTGGTGACGTGGGAATATTATTCTGGTGATGATTATGGAGACTTCTCGGGGTGTCAGTTCATGAAGATGAGGGGGAAATTTTATTTCGAAGGGTTTTGAAGACGCGATTTTGGGGTTGATGGTTTTTCTTTGCCTTTGAAAATTGGATATCTGATGTTTGATGCACTGTTGGAAATTTTTTGCGGAAATTTTAAGACATTTCGTTGTTGAAAATGTACAATTTTAGGGAACAATTTATGGAAACAGTTAATTTCAGCTCAATTATTCCATAAATATTTGTGGAAATCAGGAAAATTCAAGTCAATTAATTGAAAATTCATCATAATTTGGAACTAAATATTCATTTTTCGTAAATTCAGGTAAGGTTGGGAATTGTTGTCTTTCTGCTTCTCACAAAATTGGAATTTCATCAAATGTTCAGTGAAATCTGAAATTTTATTATTTTTACTCATCCCAAAATTTTAGAAAACCATGTGTTTTATTATTCTATTCGAGTGGTAAATGTAACGGTATTCTCTTCCCCCAAGAAATCATCTAAATTCAATCCCCCACTCAACAATAAATAAAGTCTCATCCCTAGGGTCACAATTCCCCCCGAGAATTCATCGTTTGGTCTTTCTGGTTCTCTCAAAATTAAAATTACATCAAAATTTCAGTGAAATCTGGAATTTTATGATGTTTTTTCATCCCTAAATTTTAAATAACAATATATTTTATCATTCTATTCAAGTGGTCAACGCAACAGTATTCTCTTCCCCCAAGAAATCACCTAAATTCAATCCCCCACTCAACAAAAAAAAATTCTCATCCCTAGGGTCACAATTCCCCCCGAGAATTCATCGTTTGGTCTTTCTGCTTCTCTCAAAATTAAACTTGCATCAAAATTTCAGTGAAATCTGGAATTTTATGATGTTTTTTCATCCCTAAATTTTAAATAACAATATATTTTATCATTCTATTCAAGTGGTCAACGCAACAGTATTTTCTTCCCCCAAGAAATCACCTAAATTCAATCCCCCACTCAACAATAAATAAATTCTCATCCCCAAGGTCACAATTCTCCCCGAGAATTCATCGTTTGGTCTTTCTGCTTCTCTCAAAATTAAAATTGCATCAAAATTTCAGTGAAATCTGGAATTTTATGATGTTTTTTCATCCCTAAATTTTAAATAACAATATATTTTATCATTCTATTCAAGTGGTCAACGCAACAGTATTCTCTTCCCCCAAGAAATCACCTAAATTCAATCCCCCACTCAACAAAAAAAAATTCTCATCCCTAGGGTCACAATTCTCCCCGAGAATTCATCGTTTGGTCTTTCTGCTTCTCTCAAAATTAAACTTGCATCAAAATTTCAGTGAAATCTGGAATTTTATGATGTTTATTCATCCCTAAATTTTAAATAACAATATATTTTATCATTCTATTCAAGTGGTCAACGCAACAGTATTTTCTTCCCCCATGAAATCACCTAAATTCAATCCCCCACTCAACAATAAATAAATTCTCACCCCTAGGGTCACAATTCCCCCCGAGAATTCATAGTAACCCAAGGTCCCCTCCACTCAACGAGAGACGACTTCTGGCGAATGGTCTCGGAGAGCAACAGTCGTGCAATAGTGATGCTGACCCGATGCATCGAGAAAGGTCGGGAGAAGTGCGACCACTACTGGCCAATGGACACCCTTCCAGTCTACTACGGGGACATATGTGTAACAGTTCTAAACGAGACGCGCTACCCAGACTGGAGTATCACCGAGTTCATGCTCTGTCGAGGTGACACGAAGAGGGTGATCCAGCACTTCCACTTCACGACGTGGCCGGACTTCGGGGTGCCGAGTCCACCGCAGACTCTGGCGAGATTCGTGAGGGCCTTCAGGGAACGAGTGAGACCTGATCAGAGGCCCATTGTCGTGCACTGCAGTGCTGGGGTGGGGAGAAGCGGGACTTTTATCACGCTTGACAGAATACTCCAGCAGATACAGGTCTCCGATTATGTGGATATATTCGGCATCGTCTGGGCCATGAGGAAGGAGAGGGTGTGGATGGTACAGACTGAGCAGCAGTACACGTGCATTCATCAGTGTCTTCTGGCAGTTCTGGAGGGCCAGGACACGCTCACGGGACCCCCCAGGGAGATTCACGATAATCAAGGATTCGAAGGTAAAATTTAGAGTAATTCCTTTATTGGGTTTTAAAAGTTGTTTTATTTGTAATTTGTGGACGATATGTACGAGCTGGGGACTGGGGGGTATTCATTTTTGGGGGAGGGGATTTCGTCAAAAAGATTTCATATGAAAATATTGAATAATCTATTCGGGAGATTAATTGTAATTGCTGTTGGAATTCTGTGAAAATTTAAATTCTATTAACAATTCGTTCAGTTCTCTATTTGTAGTCAATTTTTTATGAAATATTTGACAGAAATAAAGTAATAGATTTTTATTTTTCTGTAGAATCTCCTGGGTATGAATTTTTGAAGTTTTTTCTGCTGTAACTTTATTCTATTTCTCATGATAAAATGCAAAATACAAAAAATGTTGAAAACTCATCGTTGAAAATTCTTTAAGAAAAGTTTCCACAGATAAAACATTAATATCTACTAGGATTTCAATAGAATAATAATAAAACTTGAAGAGAATTCAAGTAATTAGTTGTTCTACTAAATTTTTCTCATACGTGATAATGAATAAACTAAGATATGGATTTTTTTTCTTCTTAATTCCTCTGATTCTCTATTTATTATTATTTTTATGGAGATTTTGTGAGAATGATCACGTACGGAAATATTTGATAATCCAGTAGATTTTGAAATTCTATTGCAGTTCTATCTAAAATTCCATTCCTTTATTCGTATTAAATTTTTAAAGAATTTCTCGATAAAAAAAATCAACAAACTTTTATTCTTCTGTAGAAATTAGACACAAATTTCTGAAGTTATTACAAAATACAAAAAATCCTGGAAACACATCCCCGACAAGTCAGAACAACACTAAAACTTGAATAAAATTCAAGTAATTAATGTTTCCATCAAATTTTTTCACACTTGATGATCAATGCACCCCCGATATGCAATTTTTTCCCTCATAATTCCTGTTTTCACCCCAAAATGCACTCACCACCAGTGATTCTGTCCCCATCCTGTTGATATTGATACCTCCCAATCAAACTAATGAGACATACTCCCCATGTAAAACAATTTGAATCCAGGAAAGAACCAAACATCCGTCGAGAATGCCATGAGCCCAGTAGCTGACGAAAAGGAGAGATGACCTTCAGACTCGGGGAACGAGGACGAGGGTAATAGCAGGCATACCCCTAATCGTGCACGACTGTTTTGTTTTGCTACCCCATTGCATCGCATGATTTATTTATCTTATTTATTTCACCGACTGGATCAATAGAACAGGAATGTTGTAGTGACCAACGACTGATTCATGCAATTTTTTTATTTCTATAATTCAAAATTGTTCGTCGTATGCAGAGTTGGGGACTTTAGCCATTAAAAATAAATTGAAGAACATTTGTTAACGATTTCTCAAGATGGAATCTTGTTAAAAAGAATTATTCCACATTTTTATTTCGCTTATTTCTGCTTCTGAGGCTGAAATAAATTTTGAAAATGAAATTATACTGCATCCAGCTCTGATTTGATACGACGATTCAATAGAAAATATAATCAAGAGCCTGAATAACATACGACAATGCAGATTAATCACTTTTATTTCCACTAATTGATGAATCCTTTTTCTTCTTGCAGATGACGAGGGAATCGCTGAATCCGGGATGTAACCAGAGACTCAGCCCAGAAATTATGATTTAATTAGCCCCAGTGGAAGCAATTGATCTGTGACAATTAGTGAAGAAGAATGCTCAATTATTAATTATTTTTCACGTGCGACATGAATATTAATTTGGATCGTGTCCCAAGAAAGTGACAAGTATCCGTCCGACAGATTAATCGAGCATTTTCCGAATTTCATTTTGATGTCGCTTAGAATCTCAATTCATATAATTTTTCCTACAAATCACGAGGGGATTTGTAACTAGGTACTTAATTATTTAGAGGACGAAGGCAGATCAGGGGTGAACAATGCACATTTTTATACATTTGGACGGATGCACCTGAGAGAATGGAAATATAATTAGGGGGGGAGAATGATCCCCTCAGGTGCCAATTGATCTCTCTACCTCTTATGATTGTTTTTGTCTCTGTTTTTAAATTTTTTTATATGATGAACGATTATATCCAAATGGACCACTGTATGTACATATCTTCCCATACATATTGCGAGAAATGTTTAAGCCTCGAGGTATATTGTATTTTAGCAGAATATTAATTATTGTTTTTGTTACCTTATTTTATTGATATTATTTTTATCAACGATGATGCTATTGTAATAATAACAATTCAATATCAAATTGCAATGGGTTTTTTTCCTACCTTTAGTCCCTTAAGTTCATGATGATCATGAGGTAATTAAGAAGATGATTAAATAAATCGATTTCTCTTGAGACGAGTTTTTTCAAAAATAATGTCTGTGAATATTTCACAAGGGCCATTTTTGTAGAGAGAAATGAAAGGTACAAAAAAGGTTCTATAATTGGAGAATTGTTATGAAATTTCGAGGGTTTTCCGAAAAATTGAGTCTCAGAGGAATGGTGATTTCGTTTTGCAACATTTGAATATAATTTTTTTTTTTTTCATTGTGAATTTTGATGTTTTCAGCGCAAGTTAACGTTGAGCTACGAAAATAATCAAGGAACACACTGTTGCAGCAGAGATCGACATGTTCAACGGTGAAAAAGGAAGAAATTTACAAGATTTCCCCAGTATCTATGAAATTGCCACGCTAAAATGAGACATTTATCAAAGACAGTGGCTATATTTCTATGAAAATCAACAGCCACTTTAATTAGTATGAAAATATCAAAAGTCATTTATTCATTTTTCATTGAAACATTTACAACACATCTAAAATGATGAAACGTCAATTAACAAAAGAGTATTTTCTTTAAACCTCTAGAATACTAAATTATCCAACGATTATGAATATAATCAGAACAATATTTAAAAAATGCAAGAATACGTTAAACATAATAAATCGAATAATGAGCGTTAAACGAAAAACTTTGAGTCACCAATCGTTTAAACCTCGTAAATATTCCCAAAAAAATGAACAATCACATTAATTATTATCAAAATATCATAAGTCACTTATTAATCTCCAATGGAAACATTTCCGAAAAACGAAAAATGATAGAATGTCAACTAATAAAATGACATTTACTCTAAACCTCTGGAATATCGAATTCCCCAATCCTTATAAAAATACTCAAAGCAATATTTTGAAAATGCAAGACGTTGAAATATAATAAATCAAGTAATGAGCGTTCTATTCTCGTCTAAACCTCGTAAATATTCCCAAGAAAATGAACAATCACATTAATTATTATGAAAATATCATAAGCCGCTTATTAATCTCCAATGGAAACATTTCCGACAAACGAAAAACGATAGAATGTCAACTAACAGAATGACATTTACTCTAAACCTCTGGAATATCGAATTCCCCAATCCTTATAAAAATACTCAAAGCAATATTTTGAAAATGCAAGACGTCAAAATATAATAAATCTAATAACGAGCGTTAATCGAAACCCGTTGAGTCAACAGTCGTTTAAACCTCATCAATATGTCCCTGAGAATGAACAACTCCCTGCATTACCATCAAAAAATCTCAATACGAAATATCAAACCATGAATACTAAAAAAAAATGAAAAAGTGAAGTGAGCGATCGTCGAGACCCCTCAAGGGTCCGCCTTGACGATCTCCTCCATGAACTGATCCATCAGGAGAGTATTCCTCAAGCAGAGCTCTCGAAACTGTTCAGTAGTGATGATCTCCCTCTTATTTCTAATGACAAACCTCCAGCACTCTTGCTTGAGCCTGTCAGCCTTATGGACCTCAGCATACTCAAGAATCTTCAATGCATTCTCGACCTCGAGTTCCGTGAAAAGGCTGTACTCACAGACATCCTTGAGACTCCCGATGTCATACTTCTGTGCTGCAGCAAGAACACGACACGCGACATCGACGTCCTCCAGAGCCTGATACCTCCCTGTGTACAGGAAAGTGAGCATTACCTTCATGATGTCCACAGGAATGTCCAGGATCTCAACCCGATTGGTCTGAGCCTCTTCCATCGGTGTCGACAGCATCCTCAGGAAGACAGGACTGTTGCTAACGAGGATGAGCTTGTGAGCTGGAATTTCCTCGTCCCCAATAGCAAAGACAACATCGCTAAATGCCTGATTCATCAGGAATGCCTGCATCTCCTCAGGAAAGTGAAACGTGGGAGGTGGAGGAATGACTGAAGGTAGTTCCCAGAGCACTTCACAGACAATGTGAAGTACTCTGTCAGCAGTTAGTGGTAGCAAGTTCCCAGTGAACATGAATTCACAGCTCCTCCTCCACTGAAATCCGTTGATCGATTTCTCTTCGAAGTTGCAAAGTTTTGCAGTAATGTCGACCTGGAAGGGACTCTCCTTGGTCTTTACTAATTGGACAATCACCCGATTATGTTCGACCCATCGTATTGTCACGTACACAGCGCAATTGGCGATCACTTTGGCTGATGCATAATTCGATGTCACGGTGGCTTCATATCCAGCTGGCATTTTCACTCTCCATGAGTATGTGGTGCAGTGACGCTCCATTTTTTCGTGTGAATACAACAATTGAACTGAAAAAATCAGTCTGGTTATTGGGGAGAGAGATTGAGAGTGAGGTTGAGGGTTAGGGGGACTGATTTAGCGGAATTTTTGGGAATTTTATCCTTGAAGTGGTGGAAATGATGCGGTTTTCCAGGTTGAGAGGGGGCCTGATGGAAATTGAGGTGATTGAGGCATTTTTAAAGGACTGATGGGTAAATAATCACCTGTAAATCGAGAGAATGAGGAAGGCCGCGTTCCGAAGGCGTCTGCAGTCGTGACGAGTGAGTCCGTCGCATCTCTGACAAGTCTATATATGTCATATGTCTACTACGCCATAATATGGCGGAGATAATGGCGGGAAGAAAACGACATTTAAAAAAAATAAAGAGAAAATAAGAATTTAATAAAAAACGTTAAACACTTTATTACAACACCACAAATTAAATATTTACATAATATCAATGAAAAATTATTCAATAATTAATTGAATATCCCGTCAATTACTTAAACAAATTGGATTTTGAATTGACAATTCCGACAGTGAACTGCATCATAAGCAAAGGCTTCCTGATAAAAATTTCCTCAAAATAGTCTGTCGCAATAATTTCTTTCTGATGCCTAATAATGAACTTCATGCACTCCTTCTTGAGTGTCTCCGCCTGATAGGTGTCGGCATCATCGAGGATTTGCAGAACGTTGTTGACAGTGAGATTGTTAAGCAGCTTCTGTTCACACTGATCCTTCAGCACCTTCATGTCGTATTTTTCGGCCACGGCCAGTACCTCCCAGGCGATTTCAAGTCTATCCAAGTCCTCGTCTCGCCCCGTGTACAGGATCTTCAAGACCGTCTTCATGATGCCGGCGTCAATGTCCTCGATGACAACACAATTTTCCATCCCCTCTTTCATCGGCGACGTCAGCATCGCGTGGAAAACAGGACTGGCAGCGCTGAGAATCAGCTTGTGAGCGAGTATCCTCTCATCACCGATGATGATCTTGACGTCGCTGAGACTCCGCGTCATGAGGAAGTCCGACACCTCGAGGTAGGGATTGGGCCGGTTGGACGGGTCCTCCATATCGGCGAGGTTCCACGTGATCTGGAGAACAATCCTGTACTTTGTATCGTTGAAAAACGAGGTGAAGCAGAAATCCGAGAAGAAGCAGGACTCCCTCCAGACCTCCAACAGCTTCGTCTGCTCAGCCACCCAGCTCTGCGTCTGCCTGATCCGCAGGCTCATGTGCGCCCTCACAGGTCTGTGGATCGTCTTCTTCACGAGGACCTCCACATCCCTGTGGACGCGGACGGCACTGCCAACCCTCGAAGTCGATTTCGAGGTGTGTCTCAGCCACACGGAGATGGTGCAGTTGTCGACAACGCCGGACGGAAACTCCCCGCACATCATGAATCTCGCTTGGAAGTCAGAGGTCCAGGACTCGCAGGTGTACGTCATGACGTTCTGGCTCCCGGACATCATGAAGGTGTTGTTCCCTATTATGTTGCTGTGAGTCGACATTGCTGTAACTAAAAAAGAAATGACAATCCGTTATCCAACAGGGCAGGGGCGGCGGAACGCGAAAATTTGAGGTGGGTTGAATTTTTCTGGAATTACAAACTCAGGGAATATTTTTTACGGGTGTCATCGAAAAGTCCCCAGCAAGACCGGTAAATATCCGAAAATTTACCGGTAAATTGTTGCTGGGAAGGTCACAAGGGTCGCGAGGGTCAACCGGGATTGACGGGAGATTTCATCAGGAGGGCCAAATGGCCTTATTATATCCGGTTTCCCCTAATTACAATTCAAAATATTGTAACACTTTTCAGTTATTTTGTTTATTAATTAGTATATCGGACTTTGAAGGTGATATTGTAAAGAGGCCTCTTCTTCTCTTCTTTTGTGGGATAAATTCATCCGGAATTTTATCTAGATATAGCTCACGCGGTCATTGAAAAAAAAAATTTTGATAAAATTGTAGAACAATTATTTTTCTTTTAATTTTTTTGAGATGCGGGATTCCACACCTCCAAAATTTGAGGTATGAACTGACCAATAAACTCCACTATATACTAAGTATGTATATTATACTTACATTTGGTATCGCTCCTTAACATCAGTGAAGTTAAAGTTTAACTGAATTAATAAATTTCAAAAGTAGAGAAGACTTGATAGTCGATTGATGACTCTCGTCAGACTGTCTGAATTTCCTACAAGACAGAGCATTAAATAGAAATCCCGAGCGTCCGTCTGACTCCGTTGGTGGAAATGACTTAACCGGATTGGAAGATAAATTGGGGAGGGGAGACTGACGTTTCTGTTGGTTCAGCACTGCGGATTTTGTATAATAAAGGGCCCAGAGGGGAAGGGGGGGGGGTCTCGGCGACGGCAGCACTACCTGTCCCTTACCAGGAAATCGTAATCATCGTGAGGTATAATAGAAGAAAGGAGTCTATTCTATTCCATAACAGACATATCCTTTGCCATAAAAAAAGGACTGAGGTAATTTTCTGAGAAGTCGCTTCAATCGTGGCGCCAGCAATATTTGTCATTCTAAGGAAAATTTTAATGGCTTACGTAGAATAACTCATAATCCGCATTTTAATCAGATTGTTGTCTGAAGAATTATGACAGCGCTTGGCGAGAATGACGTTATAAATAATCAATTGTCAATTCTGATAAATGTGTAACAACTTCGGGACGATTTTAACTCTGGAATAAACGATTTGTCGGGAATTGTTTGTATTAAATTTTTTTGATACAAAAATAATGTTGTAAATTGTGAGTGGCTCATCTTCGGGAAGCAGAATGTCCTGTTGAAATTATTTTCTGGTAAAATTCCATAGATGATATGAATTGTCATTAGATAGCATATTAACACTGTTTACCTCATTTTCAATTATCTTAATTGAATAGTTTCTGTTGAATTATCGAAGTCTGAAGTTTTTTCCATCACGGTCTTGGGTGCAGGCTGCATTATGATGTTGGGAGGGTTTAAGGGGTCAAAAAGGAAAGGAGTGATGGTGGGAACAAAGAATAAGATCTAAAACATTTGTCGAGAAATTGTTCGTATTAAAATTGTTTGATACAAAAATTATGTTGCCCAAGGAAAATTGTGAGGGAGCTCAACTTCAGGCAGTAGAGTGTTCTATTGCAACTGTTTTCTGTAAAAATTCGATAGGTAATATGATTTGTCATTCGATGTATACAAGCATATCAACGTTTGTTTATCTCATTTTCAATCAACTTAAGCAAGAGTGACATTTCTGTAAAAATATGGACATTCTTGTCTAATTGGGCGCGCAGTTCCTTCGTAACATTAATAATCCCAACGATGAACTGCATCATTAGCCCGGGCTTTTTGTCACAAAGTTCTTTGAAAACTTTTGCAATCATTATTTCATTCCTGCGATGAACGATGAATTCCATGCACTTCTGTACGAGTCTCTTCGCTTGATAAGTATCAGCCTGATCAAGAATGTTGGTAGCATTGTCGATAGTTAGACACTTGATCAGCTTTTCTTCAATGAGAGCTTTGAATTTCTCCATGGCATACTTTTCAGAAACAACCAACGCCTTCAAAGCCATCTCAAATCCATCAAAATCCTCATCTTCTCCCTTGTATAAATAATTCAAAACAGCCTTCATGGTGACCACTTCGATGTCTTCGATGACAATAGAATTCTCAGCTGCCTCCTCCATTTCTGACGTCAGCATCGATAGCAAGACTGGACTGGCTGCACCGAGGACTAACTTATGGCAGGGTATTTTTTCGTCGCCAATGACGATTGTCACGTCGCTCAAACATGTGCTCATGGCAAAATCGGACAGCTGGAGAGGATTCATTTTTTATAGTAGATGTGGTCCACGTGATTATTGGAAAGAATAATGGGTATTCCACGATTAATCGAATCCTAACCTCTATTGGATGCCGACACAGAGCAAACTGGAAAGGAAAACCGAGAATTGGATCGTCAGAAATAATAGAATAAAGGGGCTGGGGAATAAAAAAAAAAATGCAGCTGTTACACTTACTCTAATGAAATCGAACAAGTAGTCAATGTGATTCGTGATTTTTATTGCGTAGTATGCATCCACCACAGCTCAGCGAAAACCAAAATGAGAGAAAAAAAATCTACGTAACGCACGTTGTCTTTGAGGTGAATAAATGGGCGTATGGGAAGTCCCGATTTTTGTCCTCATGCTCCAGGCATTTGCGTTGAAAGTCGCCCGTGTCGATAATGCAGATTCTTGAATAATCTTCATGTTATCATATGTGCAGTTTCAAATCGAGAATCGTCTCCCTGAGAAAAATTTTCAATTGTTGAATTCCTCATTTGTTTCTATTTACACGAGCATTTTAAGTTTTTCGTGTTGTATATTTATTATATAATTTTTTTATTGACCAATTTTTTGGAGAATTTCTCAAAAACTAATAGAGCTAATAAAGCTAACATACTGTTAGGAGTTCGATTACATTCAATTCTTGAGGAAATTGTTTTTTCCAAATGCAAGCATTGTAATCATCCAATTTCACATTTTTTAAATTTGCTTGCAAATGATGTAAGATGATATAAGACGTGAAAATGCAAAGATTGGTAACCAATTTTTAGAAATACGAACCCATAAACGGTCAAAATAATTTCAAAAAATCGGAATTTTGTAATATTCTATGCCCACTTTCAGCCTGATCGACTCCCCCAGTTGGACATTGCTGGCGATTTTTTCTGGGTCGAGAAATAGCGTGCTGATGCCTCTAAAGATGGTTTTGAACTAGGGAAGACTCCTAGACTCCACTGGACAATGTTGTCATAACTCTGCTTTTCAATTGAAAACAGACATCATCTTTAGAGACATTTGCCATCTTTAGAGGCATCAGCACACCATTTTTCGAGCCGCTCTTTGATTTGAGCCCAAAAAAACATTCATCTCTTCTCTGACATCCCTGCTACAAACTCGGGTCTACAACTCGGGTTTTCAATTAAAGACCCGAGTTGAAGACCCGAGTTTGTAGCAGAGATATCAGACAAGATATGAATGTTTTTTTGGGCTCAAATGAAAGAGCGGCTCGAGAAATGGCGTGCTAGGGCCTCTAAACATGACAAATGTCTCTAAAGATGATGTCTGTTTTCAATTGAAAAGCAGAGTTGTGACAATATTGTCTAGTAGGGCAATGGGGTCTAGGAGTGTGTATAGAACATTGGGGTGGAGGAGTCTCCCCTGGCTCAAGACCATCTTTAGAGGCCCTAGCACGCCATTTCTCGACCCGCTCTTTCATTTGAGCCCAAAAAAACATTCATATCTTGTCTGACATCCCTGCTACAAACTCGGGTCTACAACTCGGGTTTTCAATTAAAGACCCGAGTTGTAGACCCGAGTTTGTAGCAGAGATGTCAGACAAGATATGAATGTTTTTTTGGGCTCAAATGAAAGAGCGGGTCGAGAAATGGCGTGCTAGGGCCTCTAAACATGACAAATGTCTCTAAAGATGGTGTCTGTGTTCAATTGAAAAGAACAGTTGTGACAACATTGTCTAGGAGGACAATGGGGTCTAGGTGTATGTATAGAACATTGGGGTCTAGGAGTCTCCTCAGGTTCAAACCCATCTTTAGAGGCATCAGCACACCATTTTTCGAGCCGCTCTTTGATTTGAGCCCAAAAAAACATTCATCTCTTCTCTGACATCCCTGCTACAAACTCGGGTCTACAACTCGGGTTTTCAATCAAAGACCCGAGTTGCAGACCCGAGTTTGTAGCAGAGATATCAGACAAGATATGAATGTTTTTTTGGGCTCAAATGAAAGAGCGGCTCGAGAAATGGCGTGCTAGGGCCTCTAAACATGACAAATGTCTCTACAGATGGTGTCTGTGTTCAATTGAAAAGAACAGTTGTGACAACATTGTCTAGGAGGACAATGGGGTCTAGGTGTATGTATAGAACATTGGGGTCTAGGAGTCTCCTCAGGTTCAAACCCATCTTTAGAGGCATCAGCACGCCATTTCTCGACCCAGTAAAAATCGCCAGAAATGTCCAACAGGGTGAGGCTCAGCCGTTGACTCAAAATCAAACACTGAAATCTTTCTTTTAAAATTCCATTAATTACTCTTCGATAAAATTATCTAAATTCCAAGCGAGTTTATTTGCATTTTCAATTTTGTTAAACCATTCAATGATATTAGATTGATGTCTCAATTCAAATGAGACAGCGCTACGCAGTGTTAATTGAAAAGAGTCTACTTGGGATACATATGCGTTTAATTAACAGTGGACACCCGGTAGAGTCGCGGACCTTGTTCCGACGATCATTTGTCGTATATAGTGGGATACATGGCGCCCTCCACAATTAATATCAACTGCAAATGAAACGAATGCAATTTCTACTCTACCGACACTGTTTGACCGACTGCAAGCACCGTGCACAGATGTGGTTGTGCACAGTTGTTCCCTCACATTTTTCACTAATCTGTGGACAGCCGTGGATGCGTCTGCACAGTTGCGGAGTACGTGCGGCCCCCCTCCACACCATCGAGCCTGCCGGTAACCGTGGCAATGAGATTATTTGAAAATGGCGTCGGAGCAGTGGCTGAATGTTCTACAGAAAGCAAAAAAGACAGCTATTATTCAAGACGGTAGGATCTCAATTCCATAACCAGTTCATTCGATTTCCGCACCTTTCAACATAATATTTATTCCACTCCAGGGACACGAAAAGTACATTTTTTACTGGAAGATGGCAGAGAACTTGTGGAAGAGTATAACCTGGAGACGAATGTCGTGACGAGAAGAGCGTGGAGAGAAAAGGGAAAATTGGGGCAGGATGTTGGGTGGGTGGTGGAGATTGGAGATCCAGAACCCCAGAAGGAAGATAATCTAGAAATCAGTGGCATTCGAGAGAGTTCGTCTGCTGTAAGAGAAATAATTGCACAGTTAAAATTATGAATTTTTTTTTATCGAATATTTTATTATTTCCATGAAGAAATGTCACAAGACACTTTTTGTTGGAAATTTAATACGATTTAACACTTCGATATTCATTTAATCATCGATTTAAATAGTTTAAAATTTTAATTCAATGCGTAAATCGAAAATAATAAAGATAATAATTCCTTTCAGCCTTTCGTATCGAGAAGAATCACAAAAACTGGTTTAGAATGGAGGATCAGAAACCTCCCCTACTCCAAAGAAGTTTATTCTATAACTGCTGACGATGGAGCATTAACTGTTCGTACCACTAATAAAAAATACTTCAAGAAGCTGAACATTCCAGATTTGGAGAGGGTGGGCTTGAAGCCCGAGCAGGACAGAATTTCCTTCACACATCAGTTCAATACTCTAGTCATAACGGTGATTTTTCAGGCATTATATTCCTCAATATCTCCACCGATGATTTTTCTAAATAATGCTATTGATCATTTTTTGTGATGAATGCAGTACAAGAAACCTCCAGCTCTCCTAGACCTCGAGAAGAAAATTCTGAACGAAGTGATGAACCTCAAAGCGTCGAGGGAAGGAGACGTGCAATGTCCAACGAGTTAATTAATAAAAAAAAGAAAAACTTAATTTTATTCCATCAAATGATTCGTTCGTTTACTCTCGTAACATTTATTTATTATTGGATTTTTCAATTTTTTTTCTATTAATTTTTAAGTGAGAAGAAAAATAGAAGAAAATAATGGAGAAAAAAAACAACATTCCAAATTTCTTAATTGAATATCTTAATAGTTGTCTAGAAAAATCAATAATTGTTGATTTTCTCAATGAAGTATTTTATACAGGGGTTTCGTAGGTACTTGGCGTTCATCGACAGCCAGACATAAAAAGTTGATGCCGAAATTTTGGAAGTTGAAGGGATTCCGCTTCCTCGCTCCATTGAAACTGACATTGGCAACAAAACCAATTATAATTCTTGTAGGCATTTGCTCGAAAATGACGTTATCTACTGTCTCTCCCAGAATTCCGCTGTGCAGAACAAAATATTTAACCTCAAAACGAGTCAAGGGATATTTTACAATTGTCTTTGCAAAAGTTTTAGCGTGAGCTATCAATATTCCAGGGCTGAGTTCCACGCGTCGAACGATCAATGAGGCCTCCATAATTTCTACTTTGAACTCGGAATGTAAAAAAATCTAATTTCTGCACAAAATATCTGAACAAAGTAAGATCTCTAGGGGGATCACAATCTATTGATCAAACATTTTTAATTGAAAAAAGAAAAAATCGCAGAAAGACTGCGGAATTTTTCAATAGAATTGACGAAAAACTAATAGAATTTTCTATCAGAATTTAACGTACGCGAGTGATCTTATCATCTCCGTTGATCTCGACTGATCATGCACGTGAAAAATATTTTTCTAAAAATGTTATCGACATTGAAAATGTCGGTATGATAGTGTCCACATTCAGGCAATGTGGTTGCGTCTCTGAATTTGATGACACTCGGAACATCTGTCTAAGTTTATCTATTTACAATTTTTAATTTGTGAAAAAGTGGCTTTAGCATTCAGTGAGTGAAATGAACTCGATTCCGGACAGGTTCGTAACTCAATTTCTATTATTTTGCATCGTTATCTATCAATAGCTCCGGAGTTTTGCTTGTTTGAAAGGATTTGAGGTTATCTCGCTCCGAAAAGTTATTAATCGTGTATTTCCAAGTGATTTCACTCGACGTCACGTTGTGAGGATTCGTAATAAATTATTTATCAGTGCGGAAAGTGAATTTTGGGGGGATTATCTTGACTATGATGTTTTATTTTTCTTTCGCTCTTGTGCTCCGAAAATTTTCGGTGCACCTGACTCTCACTGGAGCTGACTTATCGATGTAGAAAATATACTTTAGTTTCGGGGTTCGTCGGTGGGTGCCATTAGTGGACTAGGAATGAATTCTTGATTTTCGATGAACTTAATTTTTAAATTATTCCCTAATTTTTCAATTGGAAATCTGACGGAGAAAAAACATTCTGTTTTTCAGGACAATGTTATTAATTTAGAGAACATTATGGTTTTATTTTTTTTTTGAATTATGAATTGTTTATTTAATTTTAGAAGAAAAATCTGTGAAGTTCAGGAATAAAAAACTATTCACTTCAAGTAGAAAATGTTTTTAATTACAAAATGTTGAAATTTTTTAATTGTGAATATTCAAAAAATAAAATATTGAAGAGAAATTCAAGCATAAAATTCAGAATTTATTAAATATTGATTGAACATTAATTTCTTTTGATGTTAATTAATTTTTTCAATTCCAATATTCAATTCATTAGTTGAATTCCACATTTCAGAGTTATTAAAAAAATATTTGACACATGAATAGATCAATTTTACAACAGGAAAAATCATCCATTCAAGATCGAGAATTTTCTCAATTAAAAAACCGAAATGTTTCGCATTCAAAAGCGAAAATCATTTTCCAACAATTAAAAAAACGAATTAATTCATTTTTTGCCTGATTTCCCAGGGAAAAATCTTCTCAAAATGCGTAAAAATTTAAAAAATCAAATGAATTAGCAACTTCCTTCCTCTCAGCATAATCATATTACAAATGTCCCAAATTAAGTCGATTTCCCATATCTTCTTGGATACTTGAAGCTCCTGGCAATAAATAATCTCAAGGGAATGAAAAAATCCGACGTTTTCTCTGAAAATCTCTTCCCCTCTCATTTTATTATTTTACAACAAATAAATATTCTAGTCTCCGAATAAACTCTATACTTTCAGCTAATTGGCTGGTCCACCTCAAATGAGAGATATCGTTTTCTTAGAAAACAAAATCTCGGGTCGTCCGGGGTCATAAAATCCCCAGTAATTTTTTTCACCTCCCTTTCTCATCCCAAGAGCCCTCAATAAAACCTTCAGCTTCTCAATCAACTACTTTTAATTGCAGATGGCTACAATATAAGCCGTATGGGACAGTCATCGAGAACACCAAAATTCTGGCATTCAAAGTGCCCCTCAAAGCGGTGAGTGCAGTCATAAATCCATAAATAATGCATTCCAAAAGTAAAGAAATACGACATCAAAGTATATTTCACTCTTCATTATTCCGTTCGATCATTAAGAATGAATTTTTCCCGTTTTAACGAGTTTGACGTCTAAAATCGTGTGTCAAGTTGATCCTGTAATAAACCATCCTCTTAAGGAGGTCCACTCGATGCTTAAGCGTATGCACAAGATATTTTGTGCATCACAGTGCCCAACATTGACGTCAATGATTCTCTCATCATTACTTCCGTGATCTAAACGCAAACAGTTCCTTTAATTTCGATTATTTTAGCATAATTTTCATTTTGTTGTTGTTTGAAACGATTAAAATTAATGTTTGAATGGGTTTTCAATTCAATAAATGAACGGTTTTCGTAGTTTTTCGATTGATCTGTTTTTATTGTCAGAATTCTTAATTTTTTATTATGCAAGAAATCCCAACAGAATAAGTAATATAAAAAAATCAACATCTATGAAATTTTTTTTATGAAAAAAGTCTAGAAAAATGAAAAATTATTGCATAATTTTTCATGGCAATCCGTGCGAAAACAAATGGAATTTTTCATGAAATTTCAATAGAATTTTAATATAATTCTCATAAACATCACAGCATTTTTTTTAATGAGATGAAAAATCATTTGTGGCTTGAAAGATCATTTGAGATTCAACATATTAATTAGTCTGCGAAGTAAAAAATAATGCGGAGGAATTTACAATGAAAATCAGCCGTCACCGAGTTGTCATGCACTGTCTTTGGATTTAACAGCCACATCCCCATACGCAAATTGGCAATTCCCCCTTTCGCCTGGGTGTGCTCACCTCCACCGTACGTCGACACGGGTATCTACCAATGATTGCTCTCGCCTCTTCTTCATTTGGCATGCTGAATATGTTGATTACGTGGCGAGTGGTTGGCATGTATTTACGGTTTGTCCTAATTGATGGGACCGCCGTGGCGAGTTTCGCGGGGCATAAAACATTTTTATGCTCTTACTTCGAGTTATACCAGGCGCAACACCGCCTTGAATATACGTCGATATACTCATCGTTAAAATACGTAAAAACACTGACTAGTAATTTGAATAAAAAAATCACTCTGGTATGCACGTCATACCCAATTTATATTGTCATAAATTTGTGGGGGGAAAGAGGAATTCAGATTGCGTTTGTTTGGATTTGAGGTAAATTGAGACCGGTTTTGGGAGATATATTCTGAATATTCATTCGGATCATTTGATCAATACTATTTTAATTTTTAATTTCACTGAAATAATTTTACTGTTAATTTTCACCCGGAGAAATGATTCATTTTAATTGAATAAATTTACTCGGGCTTAAACTGGATTTTTACGGGGATTTTTTCAATTCATCGTTCCATAAAATATAGTTTTCTATCGGAGAATTTTTTAAATATAATCAAATATTTTCTTGCTCGACGGAAAAACTCGATTAATTCAAAATGAAATAATTGAAGAGTTTAATTCGACTGAAATCCGTCATTTCTTAGGGTGCGTTCGCTTAGAATTTGAATAAAAAAATTAGTCTGGTATGAACGTCATACCCAGTTTATATTGTCATAAATTTGTGGGGGGAAAGAGGAATTCAGATTGCGTTTGTTTGGATTTGAGGTAAATTGAGACCGGTTTTGGGAGATATATTCTGAATATTCATTCGGATCATTTGATCAATACTATTTTAATTTTTAATTTCACTGAAATAATTTTACTGTTAATTTTCACCCGGAGAAATGATTCATTTTAATTGAATAAATTTACTCGGGCTTAAACTGGATTTTTACGGGGATTTTTTCAATTCATCGTTCCATAAAATATAGTTTTCTATCGGAGAATTTTTTAAATATAATCAAATATTTTCTTGCTCGACGGAAAAACTCGATTAATTCAAAATGAAATAATTGAAGAGTTTAATTCGACTGAAATCCGTCATTTCTTAGGGTGCGTTCGCTTAGAATTTGAATAAAAAAATTAGTCTGGTATGAACGTCATACCCAGTTTATATTGTCATAAATTTGTGGGGGGAAAGAGGAATTCAGATTGCGTTTGTTTGGATTTGAGGTAAATTGAGACCGGTTTTGGGAGATATATTCTGAATATTCATTCGGATCATTTGATCAATACTATTTTAATTTTTAATTTCACTGAAATAATTTTACTGTTAATTTTCACCCGGAGAAATGATTCATTTTAATTGAATAAATTTACTCGGGCTTAAACTGGATTTTTACGGGGATTTTTTCAATTCATCGTTCCATAAAATATAGTTTTCTATCGGAGAATTTTTTAAATATAAACAAATATTTTCTTGCTCGACGGAAAAACTCGATTAATTCAAAATGAAATAATTGAAGAGTTTAATTCGACTGAAATCCGTCATTTCTTAGGGTGCGTTCGCTTAGAATTTGAATAAAAAAATTAGTCTGGTATGAACGTCATACCCAGTTTATATTGTCATAAATTTGTGGGGGGAAAGAGGAATTCAGATTGCGTTTGTTTGGATTTGAGGTAAATTGAGACCGGTTTTGGGAGATATATTCTGAATATTCATTCGGATCATTTGATCAATACTATTTTAATTTTTAATTTCACTGAAATAATTTTACTGTCAATTTTCACCCGGAGAAATGATTCATTTTAATTGAATAAATTTACTCGGGCTTAAACTGGATTTTTACGGGGATTTTTTCAATTCATCGTTCCATAAAATATAGTTTTCTATCGGAGAAGAATTTTTGAAATATAATCAAATATTTTCTTGCTCGAAGCAAAAATTCAATTAATTCAAAATGAAATAATTGAAGAGTTTAAATTAATAATTTTACTGTTAATTTTTAATGGAAGAAATGATTCATTTTAATTCAATAAATTTATACAGGTTTAAACTTGATTTTTATTGTTGCTAAATTAACGAAAAAAGGTTTATTCGCTTCAAAAAAAAAGTGTCCCAAATTAAGACGTCTTTAGCACACTAATTTCTGCAGTGATTTTTTCATTTATCACATTTTTCATTTTTCCCTTCAATTTAATGAATTTATTCAGTTCATTCATTTCAACAAAAGGCGCCAAAATTTGTCGTTGCCTAAAATACAGTTTTCACTTCACAAATAATTTTTCAAATACAAATATTTCAAATTAAATATTGTCTTGCTCAAAATAAAAACTCAATTGACGAAAAATGAAATAATTTCTTAGAAGTTGACGAGAACGAATTCATGGACACGTGAAGATCTATTACTCGTATAAAATGAAGAGTACAATTCCACTGAAATGCGGGAACGCGTCACTTCTGCAGTTGCATTCATTATTTTTAGTATCGATTTCCAGAAAATTTTGAGCGATGCGTCAAGTCAGTTGATTGGCGATGCCCATAAGGCCCCCCTCAGGGGGCCTCACATCGTTAAAACTCCCTTCAAGCGGATGAGTTTGAGCCGTAAACAATCCCTCATTCATCGGCCGCCTCGATCCAAAAAAATGCCATTCAATTTCCGAAATTCCCGCGTCGTCAGACCGATAAAATTTCCCTTATTACGCCAACAACTGAGTACCTCCTCAATGAACAAGATGAAGTAGTTCCTTAATCCGTTGTTATTCAAACGTAAAAGAGGATTTGGTGGGATTATGGTAATAATCAATTTGTCCAGATAGTGACACCGGTTATGATGTTTATACTCGACTATCTTGTTTCCCTGCGGATTATATCCGAAACATGAGCATTGAGTTGGTTAGTGTCGTCTTGTGCTCGTCATTCTCGTCGTAAATGCCGCCATATTCGCTTATTACACGCTTCGACAAAGTACGGTTCATTATCTTATGGGGAGAGTAATGAGTCGGGTGATGTGTACCAACGATGGAATCTAAAGTACGTGGATTGACGCTCGGTGGATGCTGCGGCCGGGGACCCCCTGGGGTTTGCTCCCGGGTGAGAAGTACTCAGTCATTGATTCTTCGCGTGTCTCGCGTTCCGTACATCTAGTTGAGTTGATTCAATCCGAATTGACAAGATTTTTTTGATGATTTGAATTGTTTTTGTCTGGGTGATGACAATTAAAATTTGTGGCTCGCAGAATGATTTTGATTTTGAGACGGTCGTGACTCTAATATTTGTGGTTTTTAGAATGAGAAAGTGTTTAGATGAGGGCAAAAGACGGGGGAAAGGGCGCAACGCAATTTACGCCGGATAAGCTTACCGTAATAAACGGTTAATATTTATTCATTGTCTACTTAGACATTTCTCACTTAATTTGATTTTTGCTCATTAATATTTCTCGATTTTTTTTAATTTTATAATTAACATATTTCGTTATCTAAATTATTTTATCATAAGTTCCTTTGTATTGATTCAATCGTCTGAAAATATTAGAATTACTGTCATTAAAGAAATGTCCTGTGAATATTCTTTTCTCTTCCACGCAAATTAGAATGGAAATATTCCCAAGTCAAGCATTAGCTCAATAAATTGATGACAAAAAAGTTATATTCTTTTTTTTTAAGAATTATTAGTGAAGTTCTCTTCTGCTAAATATTAATTATGGTTAATTAGTGATTCCAACGAAAATTGACGGAACAAATTGTTGTTGAGAATTTCTTCCACAAATTTAAATGAATTTTCTATCATTTCCATTCTTTTATTGATTTCTTAATTGAAAAATCGTTTTTTATCCACAACTTCCTGAATTTTTAATCAGCTGTGGAAGGATAATTATTCCTTCGAGGACATCAAGTCCTGTAAATATTTTTTGTGAGAATATAGTTAACTAAATTGATGACAAAAACGTTGCATTCTTTTTTTAAAAGAGAATTATAATTTAAGTTCTCTTTTGCTAAGTATTAATTATCGTTAATTAGTGATGCTATCGAAAAATGTAAAAACAAATTATTATTGAACATTTCTTCCGTAAACTTGAAATAATTCTCTGCCATTTCCATGCCACAACAAAAAATCGTTAATTTTTTTTTTTCAT